AAGACAAAAGTGACGGAAGGAAGGAACAACAAAAGGGTAGAAGGGAAGAAGGGAAGGAAGGAAAGAAAAGGAACGGAGGAAGAGAAGGAGGAAAGGAAGGAAGGAGAAAGATGGAGAGAGGTAGGAAAGAGGCAAGGAAGGAAGGGAAGGATGGAAGGAGGAGGGAGGGAGGAAAGTAAGGAAGAAAGAAAGGAAGAGAAGGAAGGAAATGGAGGGAGGTAAGGAGGAAGGAAAGAGAGAGGAAGGCAAAAGGGAGAAGGAAGGAAGGAGGAAGGGGAAGAAGGAAGGAAAGAAGGAAGGAGGGAAGAAAAAGGAAAGAAGGAAAGGAAAGAAGAGGGGAAAAGGGAAGTAGGAAGGAAAGAGAGAAGGAAGGACAAAAGGGAGGAAGGGAAGGATGAAAGGGAAGGATGGAAGGAGAAAGACAGAGAGAGGGAAGGAAGGAGGAAAGAGGGAAGGAAGGAAATACAAAAGGGAAGGAAGGGAAGGGGAAAGGGATAGAGGGAAGGAAGAAAGAATAGGATGGAAGGAGGAAGGAAGGAAAGAAAAAAGTGAAGGAAAGGACAAAACGATAGAAGAGAAAGATGGAAGGAAGGGTAGAAGGAAGGAAAGGAAGAAAGAGAAGGAAAGGATGGAAGCAAAGGAAGGAGGAAGAAAAGACAAGGAACGGCAGAAGAGAAGGAGGGAAGGAAGTGAAGAGAAGGAAAGGATGGAAGGAAGGGAAGGAGGAAGATAAGAGAAGGAATGGAGGAAGAGAAGGAGGGAAGGAAGGAAGGGAAGGAAGGAAGGAAAGAAAAGGAAGGAAAGAAGGACAAAAGGATAGAAGAGGATTGAAGGAAGGAAGAAGGAAGGAAAGAGAGCAGAAGAGAAGAAGAGAAGAAGAGAAGGAAAGGATGGAAGGAAGGGAAGGAGGAAGGAAGGAAGGACAAAAGGGAAGGAAGGAGAAAGATGGCGAGAGGTAGGAAAGAGGGAAGGAAGGGAAATGGAAGGGCGGAATAAAGAAAGAAGGAAGGAAGAAAGGGAGGAGGAAGAGGAAGGAAAGAGAAGGGAGGAAGGAAGGAAAGACAAAAGGGAAGGAAAGAGGGATGAGAGGGTGGAAAGGGAAGGATGGAAGGAGAAAAAGAAGGGAAGAGAAGGAGGTAAGGAGAAAGGAAAGAGAGAAGGAAGGAAAAATGAAAGAAGGAAGGACGGAAAGATGGAAGGGAAGGATGGAAGGAAGGAAAGGGAAGGAAGGACAAAAGGGTGGAAGGGAAGAAGGAAAGGGGAGGAAAGGAGGAAGGAAAGAGAAGGAAGGAAGGATAGGATGGTGAGAGAGGAGGGCCTGAGAATCCAGCCCCAGGCCTGAGTTTTCCTCCTCTCGCCTTTGCTCAATCACAAAACATTTTGCAACAGTCAAACGTTTCCAAATGCCACCTAGTGGCTGTTATAGGTATTTACACAGATTGGTTGTGCACCGTTTACTGCGGATTTTGTGAAATATGCCTCAGCTGAACTTCATAAAGAGGAAAATCACCTTGTAAATTCTAGTTTGTTATCAGCAATTGTTTGATTTTTTTATATCGATGCTTGGGGTCACGTAAACATTTCTTCTGGCCGAAAGGGGGCTGTGAGCAGGAAAGGTTTTCAGAAACTAGTTAACGGGTAACTTAGTAGTGAAGCAAACGACATTGTGATCAAACAATTCCTACTCCGTCTGTTTCCCGTCTGTAGCCTGACATTGAAAACAGATCACCTCTTGCTTTGCTCAGAAGTCCATCCCTGTTTCTCCAAGAAGCAATGATAGCAAAGACCTTCTCCTTGGCTCCTTTCTGGGGTCCCTCCCTGGTCTCTCTGAAGATACTTTGCATGTTTCACGCTTCTCTTCCCTCTGCTTTAGATTGAACTCCAAGGAGACAAGATGGAGATGGCAAGAGAGAAATATCGTTTGGCCCAGGAGCAGAACAAGCAGCTGGTCCTCAAGCTGGAAGAAGTGGAGAGGTCAGGGGAGGGCAAAAACCACAACGCGGGTTGTCGGGATGTTTACAATTGTTGCACACAGTTGAGTTGCTGCTCAGGAACACACCATCCAATCCTTCTGCACAGATGGCCACCCAGCTTCTGCTTAAAATCATTCCAAGAAGGAGAGGAACCAAACTCCCAGGCAGTGCAGCCATACAGAAAGTCATTATTATTATTATTATTATTAATAATAATAATAATAATAATAATAATAATAATAATAATAATATATTTATAGCCCACCACCATCTCCCTGAAGGGGACTTTGGGCGGCTAACATGAGGCCGAGCCCAAAAATAGCGCAGCATAATTAGACACAAAAAAAACAGAAAAATGACATCACAACAAAATACATAAATTAACAAAATAAAATAAACAATGCAAAATAACATAATAAAAATCAAACAAAGGACAGGCCAGATGCACGATGCCTTAAAATGTTAGTTAGGAAGGCCTTCTTAGTATAAATATTAATTAATATTAATATTAGGTCCTTATTAACATTCACACCTAGCTCCAGCAGACGAGAGTCCTTTATCTCACCCTGGTCATTCCACAGATATATAAACCCTTTTTCCTAGTTCCAACAGACCTCACTACCTCTGAGGATGCCTGCCATAGATGCAGGCGAAACGTCAGGAGAGAATGCCTCTAGAACATGGCCATATAGCCCGAAAAAACCTACAACAACCCAGTGATTCCGGCCATGAAAGCCTTCGACAATACATCCTTATTAATATTAATATTAGGAAGTCATTAATATTAATTAATATTAAGTACTTATTAATATTAATATTAAGAAGTCCTTAGAATCATAGATTTGGAAGAGACTTGATGGGCTATCTGGTCCAACCCCTTGCCAAGAAGCAGAAAAATCGCATTCAAAGCACCACCGACAGATGGCCATCCAGCCTCAAACTCAAAGCCATCCAGTTTCAAAGCCTCCAAAGAATGAGCCTCAACTACACTCTGAGGCAGAGAGTTCCACTGCTGAACAGATCTCACAGTCAGGAAGATCTTCCTAATCTTCAGATGGAATCTCCTTTCCTGCAGTTTGAAGTCATTGTGCCATTGTGTCCTAGTCTTCAGGGAAGCAGAAAACAAGCTTGTTCCCTCCTCCCTACGACTTCCTCTCACATATTTATACATGGCTAAAATATCTCCTCTTAGTATTCCTTTCTGCAGGCTAAACATGCCCAGCTCTTTAAGCCGCTCCTCATAGGGCTTGTTCTCCAGACCCTTGATCATTTGAGTCGCCCTCCTCTGGACGCATTCCAGCTTGTCAGTATTGTCAGTATTAATATTTAGGTGGAAACTGTGATTCCTCAGAGTTACGCCGTACTTCCCTTGTGTGTTTGTTTTCATATTTTCCTCTTTCATTTCAATGGAATCCTTATGAAAATAAATTGTTTTACTGTCATGGTTTAGGAAACTTGAAGCAACAAGCAGCCAGAACATTGAGTTCCTGCAGGTTATTGCCAAGCGTGAGGAGTCGATCCATCAGTCCCAGCTGCGCCTGGAGGAGAAGACCCGGGAATGCGGCTCTTTGGCCCGTCAGCTGGAGATGGCCATTGACGATGCCAAGAGGCAGGTGGGTGCGGGAACGCCGCGTGTTGATTGGTCCCTGGCCTTCTGGAAGTTGAGATCAGACTCCCGTTCTTTCCACTCTGTTTTCTAAAGGGAAACTCTGGCTCCCCTGTAAAACCAAGTCTTGATTCAATCTAATACTAATACTAATAATAATAATAATAATAATAATATGATATTATAATTATATATTTTATATTATATGTAATTATATTATAATTACATTAATATTATATTACTAATAATATAATATATAATTATTATATTATAATAATAATTATATATAATAATATAGTAATATTATATTACTAATAATATTACAATATAATGATATAGTGCATTATAGTATTACTAATAATATAATATATGATTATTATATTATAATATATGATATTATAATTATATATAATAATAATTGTGATGATGTGTAATTTTATTTCTATGGTTATGTGTTGTTTAAACAGTAGTTAATAAACGGTAAGTATGTAGGATTATATTTTGTTAGAGATGGTGGCTGGTGGCTTGAGCTGAGTTGCCATAGCAACAGGGGCGGAGCCAACTGTCACTTCACGGGGCAGCTGTTTGAAAGTGGCAGTCTGTGACCGGTAGAGTTACAGGGAAGACTGAATCTCTGGGTGGAGATTCAGGGAATTAATTTGTGACCAAAGGGGTTACAGGAAAGGACCCGGTAGTGATAAAACTACAGGGGGTTATTGATTCTGGGTTAAGAATCAAGGTTTGGCTGGGAGCCAATTCTGTTAAATAAGCCTTTTAGCTTATTTGTTTTATTAGGACAGTTGTCCAGGAAAGATACATCTGCTTATAGAAACCTCTTAAAGTCTGTACCTAAAGTTACTCATGAAACCTTACTAATGTAACCAATCAAGATTTGTGCCTCTTGTGAAGAAACAATTGAACATGTTATACTCCTGTTAAATAAATGTGTTACTGTTCTCCTCAAGCCTTGCCTGATACAGTTTCTCCTAAGTCAAACAGCCTACAAAAGAAGAAAGGTCAAATCAAGAACCAAATTAGAGCTACGCTATCAAATGAATAAATCCTTCTGTAACTAATATTCCCTTTATAAACCAGCTCCTAAGCTGATGTTGATCATTGCCCGGCTTTCCTCACAAATTTGGTGGCAGTAATTTTACCCTCCTTTACAATAATATAGTAATATTATATTACTAATAATATTACAATATAATGGTATAGTACATTATAGTAATATATAATACTGATATTGTGCTGTGCTAATAATATAATGTATTGCATGTCTATATCTTGTAAGCCACTCAGAGTCCCCTTCAGGGGGAGAAGGGCGGCATATAAATGTCATAATTAAATAAATAGATACTGAATTCTCTGCCTTGCTCTCTGCAGTTGGAGCAGGCGAGGGAGCGGGCGGCGACAAGGGAACGAACAGCCCAGTCTAAAATATTGGATTTGGAGACTCAGCTGAGCAGGACCAAGACAGAGTTGAATCAGATGCGGCGGACCAAGGATGATGTAAGTAATGGGCCACCATCTTTCGCCCAAGTATGGGCCAGCTTTAACCCTTCCTCCGGGTATTTTGGACTGCAACTCCCACAGTACCTAACAGCTGGTAGGCTGTTAGGAATTGTGGGAATTGGAGTCCAAAATATCTGGAGGGCCCAAATTTGTCCAGGCCTCACCTGACAGGACATTCCTGCATAAGACTCCAGCTTTTCCCAAAATAAAGCAGATCTCTATTGAGCACTGGAAGCATGTCTTGGAGTCCTCGTGGACAACAAGTTAAACATGAGCCAACAATGTGATGCGGTGGCAAAAAAAGCCAATGGGATTTTGACCTGCATCAATAGGAGTAATAATAATAATAATAATAATAGACACTTGGGAAGTGTTCGACGTGATTTTGTGATATGAAATCCAGCATATAGATCTCGTTTGCTGTTACGTATTGTGTTTTTGTGTCAGTAAAATAATAATAATAATAATAATAATAATAATAATAATAATCTTTATTTATACCCTGCCACCATCTCCCCAAAGGGGACTCAGGGCAGCCAACATGAGGCCAAGCCCAAAGATACAATACAGCAAAATAAAATACCAAATGTAGACAACAAAAAATTACATCAGAATAAAATACGTACAGTAGCAAAATAGGATAAATAAAACAAATTAACACAATATATATATATCGAACAGAATGGGCAGGCCAAATGGAGGAGATAAAATGATAAAACCCTGGATGACGTAGAAAAGAAAATATGTAATTGAAGGGAACCCAAAAAGAATAAACAGTGGGGTAGGCATTCAGTTTTGGACGGGGGAAAGTGCATCATAGGGGCAACACTATAGAAGGGGCAAGCAGAAATGGGATAAATGGTCACTCTCCAAAGGCACATCGGAAGAGCCAAGTTGTCAAATTTTTCTTGAAGGCTTCTAAGGTGGGGGCATGCCTAATCTCACCAGGTAGTGAGTTCCAACTGAGATTCCACCTGAACATTAGGAAGAACGTCCTGACTGTGAGAGCTGTTCAACAGTGGAACTCTCTGCCCCAGTGGGAGTGTGGTTCAGCCTCCTTCTTTGGAGGCTTTTAAACAGGCTGTGTGACCATCTGTTGGGGGTGCTTTGAATACAATTTTTCTGCTTCTTGGCAGAATGGGGTTGGACTGGATGCTCCATGAGGACTCTTCCAAATCTATGATTCTATGAACTTCCTAATATTAATATTAATAAGGACTTAATATTAATTAATATTAATGACTTCCTATATTAATATTAATGATTTTATGTCTCCTTTTTTCCACCTGGGGAAGCAATGAGAAGGCAAGTGATTTATAATATTATAATGTAATACATAATAATAATAATATATAATTATAATATTGTATTATTGCTATTATTATATATTATACATACAATATATTATATTAGGATAGCACAATATCGGTATTATATATTACTATATTGTACTATACCATTATATTGTGATATTATTAGTAATATTGCATGTAATATAAAATATATAATTATAATATTGTATTATTGCTATCATTATTATTATTATTTTATATTACATGCAGTATTACTACTGATATTACAATATAATGGTATAGTTCAATATAGTAATATATAATACTGCTATTGTGCTATGCTAGTAATATATCGTATGTATATATATCTTGTAAGCCACTCTGAGTCCCCTTCAGGGTGAGAAGGGCGGCATAAAAATGCTGTAAATAAATAAAAATAAATAAGTGACTGCTGGAAGAGCACTTTGGTTTTCTCGATGTTCAGTGAGAGGCCGAGCTTTTCGTATGCTTGTAGGTCATGGCTTGTTGGTCATCTTCTGAATATGCACACACTACGTTATCATCGGCATATTGGAGTTCTATAACTGATATAATCCATCTCAGTGCATTTCAGCTGCATTCTGAAACTGTGTCACCTGGCAGCGTAAATCCAGCCTGAGTCTTTGTTGTGCCAATGCTTTGTCTCAATCCTTCCGCAGGCCGAACATCGGTACCAAAGCCGCCTCCAAGACTTGAAGGACCGCCTCGAACAGTCTGAGAGCACCAACCGCAGCATGCAGAACTACGTCCAGTTCCTGAAGTCCTCGTACGCCAACGTCTTTGGAGACAGTGCCTTAACCAGTTCCCCCATCCGCCCTCGATCTCCCCTGTGACCAAACCATTGCCCTTGCTGTTGGGTTTGTGTGTGTGTGTGCGTTTCAAAGCCATATCCAACTCCACAATCTGTCAGAGTAACCAATTTCCTTACTACCGGAATGGAGCTGGCCACCACTCGGGGCAAATTATATCCTCCCTATTCTTCTAGTGCCTTACACAAGATTTTTTATTATTATTTCCTACTTATGTGTGTTTGGCATAAGTGTGCTTGTGTCACAATTCCACGAGGTTTAAAGATCATGTTTTAACCAACTTTTGGAAGAGGTGTGGACATATTCAAGGCTGTATGTCAGGTATAGGAGGGAAGGGCGGCCATTTGTTTACCTTTTTTAAATATTTGTAGCTGTTCTGCCCATAACAAGACCCATAACCCATCGCAAGTGAAGGGATGCACGTAACGGCAGAGTATCTTCCTTTTCATGGGATCCACAGTTTGAGACTTACATATTCTAAATTATTTACTTTCTTTGTATGCGTGACGTAGTGTTGATTAATGGGATTTTAGTTGTCGGGTATCCATTTAATGGTTTTGTTTGCACCCTAATATGTGTGTCTGTGTGACCTTTCTTCTGGGATGATCCTTTCCACGTGCCAAATCTTCATTCTAAAGCAGATCCAGAGTTGGGTTTCCACACTCTCTTCTTGCGAGGTTTTGGAAGAATAGATTGTTCGTGGAAAATCGCAATCGTCTTCCCAAATATTGGTTGCTTTCATCCTAAATACGTGGTTGCAGGGAGGGGACAAATCAGCCAACTGATTGCTGTGGAGACTTAAAAAAATATGTATATAGGTTAGACCTATATGTGATTTTTTAAAGACTGCTGCAATAAAATAATTTTTTTGAAAGAAAATGAATACTTTGTGTTTTTCCTCCACATTAAAAATTACCTTGCAGCTACTAAGCGTTTCCTTGCAGCTACTAAGCATTCACGTTGTGTGTTTATGTTCATACACACATATATATGTGTGTCTAGAGCAGGGTTTCTCAACCTGGGGGTCAGGACCCCTGGGGGGGGGTCGCAAGGGGGTGTCAGAGGGGTCGCCAAAGACCATCAGAAAACACAGGTGATGGGGGTTCTGTGTAGGAAGTTTGGCCCAATTTTATCGTTCATGGGGTTCAGAATTCTCTTTGATTGTAGGTGAACTATAAATCCCAGCAACTACAACTCAAATGTCAAGCTCTATTTTCCCCAAACTCCACTAGTGATCACATTTGGACATATTGTGTATTCGTGCCAACTTTGGTCCAGATCCATCATGGTTTGAGTCCACGGTTCTCTCTGGATGTAGGTGAACTACAACTCCAAAATTCTAGGTCAATGCCCACCAAACCCTTTCAGAAATTTCTGTTGGTCATGGGAGTTCTTTGTGATAAGTTTGATTCATTTGGTTCAATTACATTGTTGGTGGAGTTCAGAGTTATAGGTGTACTATAAATCCCAGCAACTACTTATGGCTTGGAGCCCCCGGGGGCACAGTGGGTTAAAGCACTGAGCTGCTGAGCTTGTTGATCGAAAGGTCGCAGGTTCGATTCCGGGGAGCGGCGTGAGGTTCCGCTGTCAGCCCGAACTGTTTCAAATTAAGGGAGGCTAAGGCTTAATTAGCCAGCGGAGCCCCTGGTGGCTCAGTAGCTGAGCTGCTGAGCTTGTTGACCAAAAGGTCACAGGTTCGAATCCGGGGAGCGGTGTGAGCTTCCACTGACAGCCCTAGATTCTGCCAACCTAGCAGTTTGAAAAGATGCAAATGTGAGTAGATCAATAGGTACCGCTCCGGCGGGAAGGTAAGCGCTCCATGCAGTCATGCCAGCCACATGACCTTGGAGGTGTCTATGGACAACGCTGGCTCTTCGGCTTAGAAATGGAGATGAGCACCACACCCCAGAGTCAGACATGACTGGACTTAATGTCAGGGGACTACCTTTACCTTTTTACTTATGGCTAATTCCCAAATGACAAAAACACAGTCCTGGGCGCAATGCTGAATGTGTCCACCAGAGGGCGGCAAAGGGTAACATATAGGAATCAGTCCTGGGCAGATATGTGCCCATAAGGCTTCAATAGAGGGGCAGAATACCAAGAGGGTGCAATGCTGGATGTGTCCACCAGAGGGCGGCAAATGGTAACATAGGAGTCCTAGGCAGATAGGTGCCCATAAGGCTTCAATGGAGGGGCAGAAGACCAAGAGGGAGCAATGCAGGATGTGTCCACTGGAGGGCGGCAAAGGGTAACACATAGGAGTCAGTCCAGGGCAGATAGGTGCCCATAAGGCTTCAATGGAGGGGCAGAATACCAAGAGGGTGCAATGCTGGATGTGTCCACTGGAGGGCGGCAAAGGGTAACACATAGGAGTCAGTCCAGGGCAGATAGGTGCCCATAAGGCTTCAATGGAGGGGCAGAAGACCAAGAGGGAGCAATGCAGGATGTGTCCACTGGAGGGCGGCAAAGGGTAACACATAGGAGTCAGTCCAGGGCAGATAGGTGCCCATAAGGCTTCAATGGAGGGGCAGAAGACCAAGAGGGTGCAATGCAGGATGTGTCCACTGGAGGGCGGCAAAGGGTAACACATAGGAGTCAGTCCTGGGCAGATAGGTGCCCATAAGGCTTCAATGGAGGGGCAGAATACCAAGAGGGTGCAATGCTGGATGTGTCCACTGGAGGGCGGCAAAGGTAACACATAGGAGTCAGTCCAGGGCAGATAGGTGCCCATAAGGCTTCAATGGAGGGGCAGAAGACCAAGAGGGAGCAATACTGAATGTGTCCACTCGAGGGCAGCAAAGGATAACACATAGTAAAGATGGAAAATAAGGTTGGGGCAATAAAAAATCATCCCTGTCTTACACCTGATTCCACCTTAAATAGGTCACTTTGGGAGCTATTTCTAGTATTTATTATTTACTTATTTATGTGCTGCCATTCTCACCCCGGAGGGGACTCAGAGTGGCTTACAAGTAGTATGTAAATACAATATATTATATTATTGCCATAGCACAGTAATAATATTATTTATTTATTTATTTATTTTATGCATTTATTAACCGCCCTTCTCAGCCCTTGCGGGCGACTCACGGCGGTGTACACTACAAAAAGGCAAATTTACAAAAGACAAATTACAAGCAACATCAGCAAAAACCGCAATACACAATTAAAATTTTACACTAACTAATCCGCTTCGTCTCATAATTAAAATCGTATCCAATCTCGTATTCCTCGTTCCATTCCAGTCATCTTTACCACATTGTTAAGCGCTTAATTAAATGCTCTCTCGAACAGCCAAGTTTTGAGATTTTTCCTAAAGGCCATGAGGGAGGGCGCCTGCCTGATCTCCACAGGGAGAGTGTTCCACAGCCGGGGGGCCACCACTGAGAAGGCCCTCTCTCTCGTCCCCGCCAGGCGAGCCTGTGAGGCCGGCGGGATCGAGAGAAGGGCCTCCCCAGACGATCTCAAGGACCTCGTGGGCTCGTAGGCCGAGATGCGGTCTGCAAAGGTATTTTGGGCCGGAACCGTTTAGGGCTTTGTAGGATAACACCAGCACCTTAAATTGGGCCCGGTAGCAAATCGGCAGCCAGTGGAGCTGGGACAGCAAGGGCGTTGTATGCTCCCTGCGTCCCGCTCCTGTTAGTAACATGGCTGCCGCGCGCTGGACTAGCTGAAGCTTCCGGGCCGTCTTCAAGGGCAGCCCCACGTAGAGAGCGTTGCAGTAGTCAAGGCGGGATGTGACCAGAGCGTGTACCACCGTGGCCAAGTCAGACTTCCCGAGACGGGCGCAGCTGGCGCACGAGCCGAAGCTGTGCAAATGCTCCCCTGGTCACCGCTGAAACCTGGGGCTCCAGGCTCAGCGATGAATCCAGGGTTACACCCAAGCTGCGAACCTGCGCCTTCAAGGGGAGTGCGACCCCATCCAGCACAGGCTGTAACCCTATACCCTGTTCAGCCTTTCGACTGACCAGGAGTGCCTCTGTCTTATCTGGATTCAGTTTCAATTTGTTCACCCTCATCCAGTCCGATACAGCGGCCAAGCACCGGTTCAGGACCTGAACAGCCTCCTTAGTAGTAGGTGGAAAGGAGTGACAGAGTTGGACATCATCTGCGTACAGATGACACCGCACCCCGAAACTCCGGATGATCTTACCCAGCGGCTTCATGTAGATGTTAAACAGCATGGGGGACAGTATAGAGCCCTGTGGAACCCCACAAGTCAAAGGCTGTGGTGTTGAACAGGTGTCCCCCAATAACACCTTCTGGGTGCGGCCCTCCAGAAATGACTGGAGCCACTGCAGAACAGTGCCCCCAAGACCCATTTCCACAAGGCGCCCCAGAAGGATACCGTGGTCGACGGTATCGAAGGCCGCTGAGAGGTCCAGGAGCACCAACAGGGACACACTCCCCCTGTCTAGCTCCCGGCGCAGATCATCCACTAAGGCCAATTATATATTACAATTGTCAAGCCAACCCCAACCGGGACCGCCTTCCACCTGGAAACCAATGCCCTCACTGCAGAAGAAGATGCAGATCAAGAATCGGGCTCCACATCCACTTACGGACTCAGAAGAATTCTGATCCTGGAAGACTATCCTACTCAGCCAACGAGGATCGCCTAAGTAAGTAAGTAAGTATATTACAATATTGTACTATAAGATTATACTGTAATATTATTAGTAATATTACATGTAATATAAAATATATAATTATAATATATTATTATTAGTATTGGTATTATATTGTGTTACATTATAAAATTATCAATATTATATGTATATACATTATATTATATTATATATCTATATAAATAAAAATGTAATGTTCGTTTGTGGGATTAAGAGAACTCAAAAACCACTGGACGAATTGACACCAAATTTGGACACAAGACACCTAACAACCCAATGTATGTCCTTCACTCAAAAAATTGATTTTTGTCATTTGGGAGTTGTAGTTGCTGGGATTTATAGTTCACCTACAATCAAAGAGCATTCTGAACTCCACCAACAATGGAATTGAACCAAACTTGGCACACAGTTCTCCCATGACCAACAGAAAATACTGGAAAGGTTTGGTGGGCAGTGTCCTTTGGTTTTGGAGTTGTAGTTCACCTACATCCAGAGATCACTGCAGACTCAAACAATGATGGATCTGGACCAACTCTACACGAATACTCAATATGCCCAAATGTGAACATTGCTGGAGTTTGGGGAAAATAGAATCTTGACATTTGGGAGTTGTAGTTGCTGGGATTTATAGTTCACCTACAATCACAGAGCATTCTGAAGCCCACCAACGATATGACAGAACCTCCATGTGGGCCACAGCAACACATGGCAGGGGGTGGCTAGTTATATTATAAGCACAGTGCAGGAGACAAGATGGAACTGCCTTCCTGGCCCCTCTCTGATCTTTGAGCAGCAGTTGATGCTGGAGGGTTTTTTATTTGTCGTGTCAGGGCAACCAGTCAATTATATTACATTTCTAACAGAACAAAGCAAACAAACAGACAAATACAAAATTTGTGAGTTTGGTAGTGGATTAAATGTCCTTTGACCAGTAGCTGGCTACTTGGAGATCTTAGAAAACTATTTCTAGATTTAAGTCGTTGACGTGCTGGCTGATACCCAAACAGGGGATGAGCTGGAGATGTCACTACCTTGATCCTTTCACTATTGGCTGCTACTTCCCGGCGGATGTCAGGTGGTGCAATACAGGCTTAGCAGTGTAATTTCTCCAGTGGTGTAAGGCGCAGACACCTCATGATAATGCAGCATGTCTCATTAAGAGCCACATCTACTGTTTTTGTGTGGTGAGATGTGTTCCACACTGGGCATGCGTACTCAGCAGCAGAATAGCATAGCGCAAGGGCAGAT